GCCCCGGCACCGGATCGCCCCCCTCAGTGTTGCCCCCGTACCGGACCGGGGACCGGCAACAGGATCGCAACCCTCGGTGTTGCGCCCACACCTCACTCAGCCAGGGAGCGGGAACCGGTCTGTATGTGGGATCCGAACCCTCGGGCGGGAGCGCCGCCACACTTCCCAAGTGGCGCACTATCCAGTGCGCCACCAGGCCGGCCCTCCTTTGCCATTTTTAATTGAGTTATTTGTCTTTTTATTTTTAAGTTGCAAGAGTTAATTTATATTCAAGATGCTAGCATGGTTATGTGTTTTATTTCTCTTGGGTAAATATCTAGGAGTGAAATTTCTAGGCATTAATTGGATGTGTATCTAGTTTTATTTTTATAATTGCCAAATAATTATTCAAAGTGATTGTATCAGTATACAGTCCCACCAGAATATAAGTGACTTCCAATTGCTTTGCATACTTGCCAATATTTAGTCTTGTCAGTCTTGTTTATTTTAGCCATTCTGATGGGAGTGAAATTATGTTTTTTTTGTGTGTGACACTTCATTTGCATTGCTCTGATGACTAATTTTCTAGACTATTTTCCATATTCTCATTGGTTTTTCACTTATTTTCTTTTATGAATGTTTGTTCAAGTCTTTTGTCCATTTTTAATTTTGTTGTTTTTTCCCTATTAAGTCCCTTGTTAGATATATACTTTCAATTATCTCCCCTTCCCCTACCCCAGTCTAAGACATGCCCATTCATTTTCTTATTCATGTCTTTAATGAGGAAAAATTTTTATTTTTGATCAAGTAAAATTTATTGATTTTTTATCTTATGGTTAGTGCTTTTTACATTCTATCTTAGAAATACTCGCCTATTACAAAGTTGCAAAGCTATTCTTCTTTGTTTTGTTCTAGGAACTTTATGGTTCTAGCTTTTATGTTTACATCTATAAGAAATATTAAGTTAGTTTCTGTGTAGGAAAAGAAACAGGGGTTGAGGTTCTTTTATTTTTTTTCTCTCCAGAAGGATTTCTAATTATTGGGACACCATTTGTTAAAATGACTTTCTTTTCCTCATTGAATTGTCTTGGCACCTTTTATTATAGTGTATTGACTATATTTTCGTGGATCCTCTTCTGGGCTTTCTTTTCTATTCCATTCATCTATTTGTCTACCCTTAATACCACATTATCTTAATTAGCTCCAAGTTTTCAAGTATTAAGGCCAAATATTAAAAGCATTCATTTAGCATCTATGTGTTCCAGAATCTTTATATATGTTACTTATGACAATTATATGAGGTAGATATTATTTCCTATCCCCCACCCCATCACATCTCAGCTGCAGAATGTAAGACAAGTTGAATAGATCACATTTGAAAACTAGCCTGTGTTATTGCAAATCCCATAATTTTTCTAGTACACATGCCTTTGCATGGTACTTAAGCTCTACCGAAATTATCTCATCATACTGCTCCAGCTACATCTCTTAATGGTTCATTAAAGGTACTCAGTGTTTTAGCCAAACTGGGTATCCCACAGGATCTAAACATGTCTGACCCTTTTCTGCATTTTCCTTTGTTGACATTCTGTGCTCCTTAAGTCCAGCTTATATTTACATTTTCATCTCTAAAAATCTCACCATCAAGCTATTAGTGAGCTCCACAATCAGATGTGGTACCTCTGCTTTAAAATTCTTATACCACTTCACAGGTCTGATAGCACGCATGGTATTTTGCCTTGTTTATTTTTTCTGTATTCTTGCCTAATATTTTCCACTAGGAAAAAAATTCGTTGAAGGGAGTATATCAATTGTCTTTGTATCTCTTGAATAGTCATTTCAACAAATTTGAGTGAAAGAAATTTTTTTGAGGCAGCTAAGGGGTGTTGCGATCAAAGCTAAAGAAAAGGGCCGGCCCGGTGGCGCACTGGATAGTGCGCCGCTTGGGAGGTGCGGCGGCGCCCCCCCCCCCGGGGTCGGGTCCCCC